GGACATGTTGTAAGGAGGGACAGGTCCTTGGAGAGGGATATCATGCTTGGGATGGTGGAGAGACAGCGCAGGAGGGGAAGACCCTCTATGAGGTGGACTGATTCAATGACTGGGGTAATTAGGATGGGTGTGTCAGAGGCAGTGCGACTGGCATAGGATAGAGCCGGGTTTAGGGCAGTTGTGCATAGGGTCGCTATGAGTCGCAAACGACTCAACGGCACATAACAACAACATGCATACATATTAAATCTCTATGTTGTTGTTAAGTGCTGTCGAGTTGTAGATGGCTCATAGTGGCCCTATGAATGAAAGACCTGAACACTTGTATAACTTTGGTCATTTCTCCATGTTCACAGAGTTTCCAGAGGCAAGCCATTTTGGAAGTGGATGCCTCTCCTGCTTCCAAGCTTGTTTTAATCGGAAAGCTCCACCAAACACTGTCTACCATGGGGTAACCATTATTGCATTTGGCACATCAGTGTGGCAAATAGCATATTATTTGAGAAACTGTACATTATGAAGAAGAATGTGGCATCAGGACAGGAGAAAGACTGATGATGGGCGGAGAAGGAGGGGAAAATACTCAACCAAGTGAACTGGCACAGTGACTGCAGCAATGGGCACAAGTGTGTCTGAGATTGAGAGGACAGCACAGAGTAAGAGAGAATTTAGATCTGCTGTTCATAAGGTCACTATGAATCGTACTCAACTCAATGGCACCTACAACAATAGGCCATCAAGGGAGTTCTTGTGGCTTACTGGTAAGAGGTTAAACTGTAATTCCAAAAGCACAAGGTTCAAATTCACCACTTGCTCTGCAGGAAAAGAATGGGCAATCTCCTCTCATGCAATTCACTGTCTCTAAAACCCCATGGGAGGATCAGCTATGAGTTGATTCTGACTCAACATCTCTCAACAATAAGCCATAGAGCGCACTATCTAGCATATATCTAACATTAGGATTGTTCATTTACAATATGGTGAAGTAGGATCTGAATAAATAAAAGGTAATTGTTGTAACTTGAGAAAATAGAAATGATACTTAATATTTACCTATGTTGTTTGTTGTTGTTATGTGCTGTCGAGTCGCTTGCGACTCATAGCGACCCTATGTACAACAGCTCTAAACTCTGCTCTGTCCTGTGCCAATCGCACCATCTCTGACACTCCCATCCCAATTATCCCAGTCACTGAATCAATCCACCTCATAGAGGGCCTTCCTCTCCTGCGCTGTCCCTCCACCCTCCCAAGCATGATGTCCCTCTCTAAGGACCGGTCCCTCCTCGCAACATGTCCAAAGTATGTTAGACGGAGCCTCAGAATCCTTGCCTGTAAGGAGTCACCCGGTTTAACCCTTTCCAGGACAAATCTGTTTGTTTTCGTAGCACGCCATGGTGTTCTCAATACTCTTCTCCAGCACCACAGCTCAAAGGCATCAATTCTCCTTCTATCCTCCTTGGTCATTGTCCAACTCTTTGATGCATAACAAGTGATTGCGAAGACTATAGCCTGTATCAGACGCACCTTAGTCTCCAGAGAGACACCATTGCTCTTCAGTACTTTGGAGAGGTCCCTAACAGCAGACTTTCCCATGGCAATGCGCCTTTTAATTTCCTGGCTGCTGGTGCCAAGACTGTTGACTATGGAGCCAAGCAAACTAAAGCTGTGTACAATCTCAATCTCGTCACCATCCATCCTGATGCTGCCGATTGGTCCAGTGGTGAGAATCCTTGTCTTCTTGACATTGAGCCTCAATCCATATTGTAGGCTGCAGTCCTTGACACTCTGCAGCAGGTGCTTCAGGTCCTCTTCAGTTTCAGCAAGCAGGGTTGTGTCATCCGCATAACGCAGATTGTTGATAAATCGTCCACCAATCCTGACCCCACATTTCTCCTCATAGAGCCCAGCCTCCCGGATAATCTGTTCTGCATATAGGTTGAAAAGGTATGGAGATAGGATGCATCCCTGGCGTACGCCCTTCCCAATTTTGAACCATGCAATGTTCCCTTGGTCTGTTCTGACGACTGCCTCCTGGTCCAAGTATAAGTTTCGCATTAGAACGATCAAGTGTTCTGGGATTCCCATTCTTCTCAGAGTCAGCCATAGTTTGTTATGATCTACACAGTCAAATGCCTTTGCATAGTCTATGAAACACAGATAGACATTCCTCTGGTATTCCCTGCTTTCAGCCAAGATCCATCTAACATCAGCTACAATATCTCTAATACCACGACCCCTTCTAAACCCAGCCTGGACTTCTCATAGTTCTCTGTTGATGTGCTGTTCACATCTGCTGAGAAAATCAAATTTATCCATGCAAAGTGTAAATGAACATATAATTTAGTTATAAGATTTTTAGATTATTTAATCAACTGTACTCTTTGTTACCAATAAATTAAAGTTGACATGATAAATAACATATATATATAAATACATGACCAAATATATTTTACTTTGCTCTGAAACAATTTTAAATCATAGGTATTCTGGTTTATATGTTTATCTTCTTCAACTGAGAACTTCTACACTGTCTTTAAAACTAAGTATAGGTCAAACTGTAAGTCTGGAGAAGGCAGGTTCATTAATAAGTAGATTTTCTCTTCTTATTGCAGACTCAACAGAGCAAGGATACAATTTTATTTTTAAAAGAAATTAAGATTTTTAGTATTCATAAGTAATGGAAACTATTAAATCATCTAGCCATACTATTTGGTCTGGATGGCAAATAACTCTTACATTCATACTTGTTTTCAGAAAATAAGTCAGACTATAAATTCTTAATAGTTGTCAAATAAGCAAATGCATGACAATATTTTTGTCAACAATAAAATTATATTTAATACAATTTTCTTACCTGCCTCAAAAGTTTCTGAATGGCTGACATTACTAGCAGGCCTCTCCAAACAATAGGTGCAGTCTCTTCAACCAGGAAACCCATTGACATACTATTAAAATTAAAATAAAATATAATTTAGAAGGATCCATCAATGTTATTCTAAAAAAATCAATTTAGAGTTAAAAAGCAATGCTCACCAAGCGATACCATAATTCAAAAGAGGCTTCATTAGATTGCCTGCAATAAGAAAAAAAAAGTCTCTTTTTTACAAGTGTTAAGTCATTAGACATATACAATCTGACTTATTTTCTTCTCAAAGTGTCAAACTGAAAGTACAAATAAGCCACTGATAAAACTGCTCATTGACATCCAAGTAATTCTCATCAATTCACAAAAAGTTTAAACTGTATGTCACCCATGCTATGAAGTCTTTCAATAAATAAACACAAAACTCTCTTCCAAGTTTTGTAACTAGTCTCTCAATATCAAATATATTAGTCAAATTCATTTTTTATTAAATTCATCATCATTGATAAGTCTTTACTCTAGAGCACTTATAGTATCTTTTGAATAGCATAAGTTCTAATTTTTAAGCCACCAAATTCATCAATCTTTGCCTTTATGTTTTTCCCTTTTGAACTTGTTTTAGAAGGTATCCTCCTACCATATGGAATAAAGATATTCTCTTGTATTTTCTAAAGCTTTTATAATTTTTTTACTTAACATTTAACTTCTTTACCATCTGGAACTAATGTCTATATATGTTATGAGAATTTCTATTCTTTTGCTTTCCATGTGGATAATAATTTATCCCAGTATGGATAATAATTTATCCCGCTATCAATAATCTGCAATGCCAATTCTGTTATAAATCTTGTTTCCATATATGCCTAAGTGTGTTTCTGAGCTGTCTACTCAGTTCCAATAGCCTATTTGTCTGTTCCTGAGCCATTTTTACTGAAGAATAGTGTCATGAGTTTCACTGTGCTCCCTAAAAAAATATGTTCAAGTCTTCACCCCTTACTTGTGAATGTGACCTGATTTCAAAATAGTGTATTTAGAGATGTAATTCAGTGTGGGACTTAACTCAGTATGTTTACTATCCTTATAAAAAGAGACATTGTCATAGAAAGATGCAGATGGAAGACAACAATGAACAGACAGAGGTAGATTGGTTTTATGGTTCTACAAACCTGGGGCTACCAGAAGCTCAAACAGACAAGGAAGAATTTTTTCACTGTACCTTTAGCAATAGCAACACCCTGAACTTGCATTTCTAAACATGTAAGAGAATAATTTTTTCTTTTCTTTAAGTTACGTACCTTAGGTTAATTTGTTACAAAAGTCCTAGAAGACTAAAAGATATATATATTTTAGCAATTACTAAAAGGCAATAGCTTCCAAAATGGATTGTTATTATCAGTGTTCATCGCCATCAAGTCAGAGGTAACTAATAACTAACCCTCAAGTGAGTTTTCAGAGGCTGTAAATACCATGAAAAGAGATTGTCCATCTTTCTCCCATGAAGTACAATGGGTTGAAAGTTTACAAAGAAACTTTGGAACTCACTAATTTTGTGAATAATAGATTTTTTAAAGAAATCATCATTAGCTGAAGTTGTAATGATACAGACTATTATTTCCTACCTTTTCATAATTTCATGATACCTCACACACTGAAGCACAGAAGACTCATACTGTAAGTCAAATCATCACAATTGTCAGAAAGCCATTATTGAAATGAATGACATTCTGCTGCATCTTCCCTTCTGTTACAATAAACTTTCATTTGTAACAGATGTGAATTTAATTACTGAATTTTAAACCATCAGTAGATTTCAAACAGATTTAGAGATTGTTTTCATATCATAAATTGATTGTCAAGGTAGAATAATGGCACTGTGATGGATCATGTTAAACTTAAAAGCTAGGCAAAAATGAAATAGATATTTTAAAAAAGGCCATTGAAGTTTTGTTAAAGTTGACATCATTAAATTTTTAAAGAATAACTCTAACCTAGAATCAGATCTTTCTACAAAAATCTCTCTGTTCATTAATCAGCAAAGCAGTAGACAGCTCCATTTACTTGCTATTAGCAGTAAGCATGAGAAGCCTTTGTACCTTCTATTCTGTTGTCTAGCTCCCAATAAAATGGAAGAGTTTTCTTTTTTAATCACATCAATGTTTTATTTAAAACAAACAGGATGGGTGGGAAATATCTGTGACAACACTTTAAACTGTTTATTGAGAAGAAGAGAGACAGAGACTTCTGCTTTCAAATCAAATCAAATCAACTCCCTGCCATTGAGTCGGACGCCATTCATAGATAACATTCCAGCTGGTTTTCAGAGGCATGAATCACGTACAAGGAGATTTTCCCTCCCTCTCCCTCAGAGTTGATGATAGATTCAAACCATATGCCTTTGCTTTGGCAGCACTACACCCTATCCCGTAAACTACCAGAGCTCCACTCTCAAATAATAATTTCCTTTAAGATTTGACTTTTACTATAATGAACATTTTTATTTTATAACCAGAAACACATAATCAACCTAGCAAATACCTTATATATCAGTTAGCCTTTATCAGGGTTTCTGAAGTTCTGCAATAATATTTTAGATTCTAATTCTTTGTTACAGGGACTGTCCTACGCATAGAAGATACTTAGCAGCATCCTGGTCTCTACCCACTGTTGTTGTTGTTGTTGTTGTTGTTGTTATGTGCCATCGAGTCGTCTGCGACTCATAGCGACCCTATGTGCAACAGCCCTACTCTATCCTGTGCCAATCGCACTGCCTCTGACACACCCATACGGATTACCCCAGTCACTGAATCAATCCACCTCACAGAGGGTCTTCCGCCTCTGCGCCGACCCTCCACCGTCCCAAACATGATGTCCCTCTCCAAGGACCTGCCCCTCCTTACAACATGTCCAAAGTATGTCAGACGAAGCCCCACCCACTACAAAACAATATTATTTGTCCCTTGTTATTGTGTAACATAAGGGAGTCCCAGTGGTGGAGTCCTTAGAGTGTTACACTGCTAACACAAAATTGCTACCTCTTGGTGGTCTGAGTCCAAAAATGAGATAAGCAAGCAATCTCCTCCTTTACAGTTTACAGTCTCCAAATATTTGCTGGCGAGTTAGCTATGAATTAGTTCCATCTTGATGACAATGAGGCATAACAGTAATTTGTATTGACCAAAACTTTACAGATATTAACAACTGTTAACTAGGCATAGTGTTGACAGGTAAAATACCTGGAACCCAGTTAAATTTAAACTTATATAAACAAGTTACCCTTTTTTCCATTAAGTACATTCAATGTAGTATTTTATGCTCCATCTGTATTCTATTTGTTAAAAATGTACAATTAAAGAATTTTTTTTTTCAAAGAGAAAAGCGAACTGGAGGGGAGGGGTGGCCAGGGAGGAAAATGTGCAACAATGAATGAATGGAAATCCATGTTCGCTATAAACTTCCATTAAAATCTCAATTGAAAAAAAAAATGGCAGCCCTACCTGACACTGACATCAACTGTTTGCCTTTTCTGAAGAGCAAACTTTGTCAAAAGCTCTATTTCTCTCCCAATATTTTTACATGAAACAGTCATGATCATTAAGTAGTTTGGTGGCCAAGAAAAAGCAACTCCAAGGCACTGTTTCTTTCACTGCTTGGCCTGTCTGACATTAAGCAATCAGAAGTATTTAAGGAATAGTTTAAAATATATTTTAAAATAAAGGTTGATGCTCAAAAATAAAATTTATAACTTAAAATCATAGAACTAAAAGCTCTAAATGCATGTTTTACGGAAAAAAAAATGGGAACACAGACTAGCCAAGAATGTAATAATCTCAGTATATGAATGCTAACTTTTAAGCACAGGGTAAACAAGAAAGATTCCTGCAAAGAAACTTACATCCACTAAATAGATTGTTCAGAAATTGTGAATGGGTATCCAGTTCTAATTTTATAATTTCACTTTCTCATCATCACCCATTTTCATATTTATTTCTTTCTGAAACATGAATTATTATGGAAAATGAGCTTTCAAAAGTTTTACATCTAATATTTTCTGTCATGAGAAGTTCAAGCAGCTGAAAAAGGAAAGTCAACTTCATCAATTAATGCCACATATGTCTATAATACCTACTTGTTAATCTAGAAGGAGGATTTAGAAAGAAAAGGTGAGTAGGAATGGCCAGAATGGGTTAAAGCGCAAGTAGCTACCATAGAAAGCAAAAAAAAAAAAGCAATACAGTAACAATACATACGAGGCTATATGAAAAATGAAATACGGTAGAAAGAAGGATAAGATGCTGTGCTGCAATTCCAAACGTACATGATTCAAATTCAAAATCATCAGCTGCTCTACAGGAGGATGGGCAACCTCCTTCCATGCAATTAACTGCTTCTGAAAATCTACTGGAGGGTCCACTATGAGAGTTTCAACTCAATGGCACACAACAAACCATTACATTGAATACGAAATGTTTATTTGTTTTCAACTTACTTTTCTATGGTGTACCACCTTATAACTACACCCACAATACCATCCTAAGTAAACTACCATCTAAAAACTCAACACTATTCAGGCAAATACTTCTTACAATCCACCTTCTTTCAAAAAAAAAAAAAGTTCCTCTATTTCCAACCTATACCTTCCTCAATCAAATTCTCATCTTTTCAGAGTAGGACGTTTATATTAGGAAAAATCTGATTTGATTAAATTTCATTCATAACTTAACCTTTGTAGAAGATATATGTTTAGGTTTTTAAATGAAAATTATTAGTTCCCCAGAATATAAATAGGAATAGGCATAAGGGAAATATGGGAGCAGAGTAGCATCTCAGATTATTTTTGCCCCCACCAAAGTAGTTCTCTATAAGAAAACAGACTAATGCTTTTTACTTTACTTTTTCCAAAGTAAGCAAAATTAGCTCCTCTCACACACAGGATTAGTTCTTAGGGAAGTATGGATTCATTTTTGCACCTTTAAATCAGTGACATCTATAGCCCTTTCCTTACCTAGTACTTACTGTTTCTCCTAATCTAACTAGAGAATGACTACTTACTCTCTCTCAAATTAGCTTTCCTGAGGGAGCTCTGGTGGCCTAGTGGCAAGAAGCTGCACTGTAATCCCAGAGGTGCGTGGTTCAAATCCAGCAGATGCTCTGCTGGAGAAGGAGGGACAATCTCTTCCTGTACCAGTCAGATTTGATTTGATGGTACACAC